TCGTTGTGTGATCTATATTATATTCAGAATGTCGAAAAAGGTATAAAAGTTGGATGATCCAAAGTACGTTGAAGAGCTTCAGAGTATGTTTCTCGATTCTGAACGGTGGAAATGAAAGTAATGAGTTTGAAAACGAAAGTGGTGTGGAACGAAATCGATTGTGTCGAAAAGCGATCAGAAAACTCGGACAGCGAACAAGACATTTCTAGTGAAGATAGCGAAGAGAACGTATATGAAAACGGGGAGTATTTTTCGGAAAAGACAAAGTAACAAAGTGGGGAAAAAAGCCAGTTTACGGAATTAAAATTAGGCGAACAGAAACAAAATATTCTTTGTCAATTGTCTCTATATATACTGTATATATGTCATATATTGATAGTATGTCATCGGTTAAAGGGCCGGAAGTACGTAATATATAAAGAAATGATCCAAGCACGCTACCCTGTGGTACTCCTACAGTTATTTTATGGTAATCAAATAATTTACCATAACTTGGAAGTCATGTTGATACATATACTTCTTCTTCTAATGGCGCTACAACCCTTTCTGACACTTGGCATGCTTAACAATGTTCTTCCATTCTGCCCAGTCGGACACTTTCCTTCGCCACTGCCTGATATTCATGTTTTTAAGATCCCTCTCTACGTCGTCTAACCATCTTTTACGGGGCCTTCCTCTTGTTATGTTTTCCTGGGGTTTCCATCTCTGGGCTACTTTTACAGCTCGATTATCTGGAATTATTTCTAGGTGACCAAGCTAGTTTAGTCTTTGTGATTTTACAAATCTAACAATATCTGCGGTCTGCATTAGTTCATAGAACTCGTGGTTTAATTTTAATTCTCCACGAACCATCGCTGCATTGGGTTGGTCCAAATATCTTCCTTAGTATTTTGCGCTCAAATATTCTCAGTTGATTTTCATCAGTGGTTGAGAGGTTCCACGTTTCACATCCATATGTGACCACTGATTGTTAATTAAATGTTAATAATATATTTTCGTATACCGAAGTATAGGGAAGCGGTGCTTTCCCCGGTTCCATGGAATGCAAATCCCTGAGTGCCAAAGATAAGCACAGCTATCCTTGTTCCACCTTTTAAACTACAAAATTAGCTATCTTCTATTATGGTATGTCGAAAGTATTGCCTCAGTAAACAAGGAATCCCCTTGCCGCAAGAGACCCACTAGTGGAGCTAGTTATTGAAGTATTCATACCAATAAATAGTCGCGTGACCGACGCATACAGAAACTATCTTTATTCCTTTTTCTAAAACGATATTAATAAATTAATGTAAGTTTGACATTTTGGTTGAAACCCATTGTGATTTGGAATTAATTATTTTTTATACAGTTCGAAATTCGGATACAGCAATAAACAACAATAGAAATACGAACTAAAACTGAAAGTCTTCTTAAAAACATAATTGACCTGCCCTTCCGATCTTCTATATTTAGAGGAATGCAGATATTATTGGTGGGAAGTTTTGAAATTGACATCCTGTATTGGGACGCACCTCTCGATATCGGTATTTTCAATAAATAATTGAATAAAAGTCTTCACTTTTAATTACAGTCTCGTAATTTCGGTCTTAATATAAAGTAATTGTTTTACCTCTAAAATTATCTTGTATTCTAATTATATTTAGGCAATAAAGAATTGATAAGTTTTTACTAAAAGTAAAAAAAAACCTTGAATACTGGCTGTAATATCTAAAATTTATAGGTATGTATACTAAAATCAGAATCAAGATGCTCTAGAAATAAACAAACCAAGTCACGTTAAATGGTACAACGAGCACTCTCAAATAATGGTTTACAATGTATATACATTGTATAAATTCCGAATCATGATTTACAAACTTTATACATTGTAAATCATGATTCTGGAGGGTTCCTCGTAACATTCAAGTGTCTTGGTTTGTTTATTTCTAGTGCATCTCGAGTGTGATTTTAGTATAGTTTTATTCCTAAAAAGCATTGAAACGGATAAAAACTTGGTACACGATGCGATGTTTGTTCAGAGTGTTTTCTTTTTGACCAAATAAATTTGACTACATCATTTTTCATTACATAGATACATAAATACACAACTAAAATTTATTCCAAGCTTTATTTCAGGTCAAAAAATATTACCTGTATCTTTTGCAATTATTTCCCAACGCCATATACACCTGGAACAGATCTTTTATATCCTGATCAGTTTTAATACTATATCTACCTATTTCTGAAACGGATAATAAATTTTTTTATAGGCCTAGATATTTTAGATCATTCAAATGATGACTGGGAACGCTTTTCGAAAGAAATAGAACATGATTTTTACGCTTTGCAAAAGGAAATATGGCGCATCGTAAGAGGTCAAAGAACGGAAGTAAAGGAACTAATATAACCAAAACACATAGAAAAAAATACGTGGATTGACTACCTAAAGGTCACCCTGGGCAGGTTATGTAGCCCGATATAATGAAAACAGGTGAACACGGAGAATTCTAGAATGGAGACCAAGGACGACAACAAGAAGCATGGGAAAACCTTAAAAAAGATGGGTAGATTACATAAGAGCAGTGGCAGGCAAGTAGCGGATTAGATTGGCGCAAGATAGAGAAAGATGGAAGCAATTGGGAGAGACCTACATTCAGGAGGGGATGGAAAATGGTTGACAAAGAGACTACCTAAAAAAGCTCTATGCAGAGGAAGAGCAAACGACGCTAGAACCGGAAACACCAGAAATTACCACAAATTAAGAAGTTAATATAAATGTACAGGAAGTTCGGAAAATACTTAAAAACCTGACGAAAAGAAAAGCAGCAGGTAAAGACGGGATACCAAACGAATTACTGAAATATTGTGGAGCAGAAATGACAGAACAATTAACAGCATTAATTAATAAAATTATAAAATACCGGAAGAATGGAGAACGAGCGAAATAATTCTATTATTAAAAAAAAAGAGATAAAAAACAGCTAGAAAACTACAGAGGTATAAACTTGTTAAATACAACGCTAAAACTTACAACTAAAATTTTACAAGTGCTAATAAATCAGAGCATAAATTTAGCAGATGAACAACAGGGTTTTCGTAGTGGAAGATCGTGTACATATGCAATATTCGTTATACAATAAATTACTGAGAAATCACTAGAGTCTTCTTCTTCCCATGCCGTCCTCATTAACGGAGGTTGGCCACCACATTTTTAAAAGTTTCTAATTTCGTTTTTAATTCGTCTACAGTCATGTTTGTCCAGTCTCGAATATTTCGCAGCCATGACTTCTTTCTTTCTACCTATTTCCTTTTTGCCATAGACTCTACCCTGCATGATGACCTGCAGAAGACCACATTTATCATTCCTCAGTATGTGTCCAAGGTCTTGCGTACTTTTATCGTTCTCAACAATTTTTTGTCTCGACCCATCCTTCTCAGCACTTTTTCATTGGTGACCCTGACAGTCCATAGAATTCTCAACATTCTCCGGTATATTCAAAGTTCAAATACTTTAAGCTTCTTAACTATTTGCGCTTTAACGTCCATGTTTCTACCTCGTACAATAGTTGAGACCAGATGTAACATTCAACAAACCTCAGTCTCAGCGCAGTATTCAAATTTTTGTCACAGAACAATTGCTTGAATTTTAAGGACGCTGCCCTTGCGATTTCTATGCGTACCCTGATCTCTTGGTCTGGATCTAATTCTGTTTGGTCTAATCTGTGTTGATGTCAAGTCTTCTTCTTCTTCTATACTCTCAGCCATAATTACCGTGTCATCATTAGAGTATAGACCAGCATTTCTGTGTCTGATTGACGTAAAGAAAGTGTTTGGCAGAGTTAGACTCAAAGATGTAATCAGTCTTCTGTATAATAGAGAAGTTCCCATAAATATTATAAAAACTATTGAAAATATCTACCAAAACAACAAAATGGAACTTACAGAGCCTATAGAAATAGGCAGAGGAATAAGACAAGGAATAATGAACAAGCAGAATTGTTTATAAAGAGGAAGAAGAAGATATTTTAGATGACATATATATAGGATTTACACCAAATATCTTTTAGGTCGCAATTTGGGAAGCTCCCAAGGGTATGAGACCAAACAACCCATTTGAAAGCTACAACCTATAAAACCGTTTAGTTTTATCATGTTTATTTTTTAAGAGATATTTCATATCGATGATTTGTAGGATTTAAATTTTGTAAATTATTCTGAAAGCAAATCACACTGTATTTTTCTTGTTAAAATTTACCAAATATTGCTTTTAAAGTAGCAATCACTTTGTTAGGACATATATATCGAGAGATTAATAATTTGTGATGAAACCACGCAACTTTCGCATTAATGTATAGAGCAAATAATTATCACTTGTCACAAAATGACACGTACTTAGATAAGGCAGTAACGAGACACCTAAATCATCATGCCAAATTATAGGTTTATATCAGATGCAACTAAATAATTACCATTTTGTATGTTTGATAAGAAGCAAGGACATGTGATGAGTTTTTTATACACAAAATGAACGAACTTTATAGCCTAAAAATAAAATTAGCATCTTTTCCTCCAAACGTGAAGTTTAAAGTTAACCAGAAATAACTGCATACTTCTCATTAATAAAGTATTTGATTTTTATTTTGTTTTATTACATTTTTGTTTGAGCTAATGATTCTTTATTAAAATATATAAAACTATAATAAATATTTAAATAAGTTTTCTTGTACACACATACCAGAGTATGCAAAATAATTAGAGGGTCACAAAGGATTAGCACAAAAATTACAGGGCCACGGAAAAATAAGTTTGGGAAACGCTACTATAACATTTCCCACATTTGATCGCAGCCACTTTTTTTGGAGTGCTCTTTCTACCTACAACTCAAAGTGTATGAATTGGGAATGGTAACTCGAAAGCAAACGGATATTGTGGAAATATGTGAGGTAGAGTTGGTCCAGCGCCACTCACAGAAAAATCCAGTACAAAATTATTAATACTGGTAAAAAAAGTTAAAAAAAAAACATATTACAAATTTTATTGAAAAATATATTGTTTCATTGATTTTAATTGTCTTTTACGGATAATTGATTGAGTATTACTTATTAATAGTTTAAAAAATTATAAACAATTTTCACAACGTTCTTTTATATAAAATAGTTGTTTGTATGAACTCTTGACGAAAAATTGAGGAGGGTGACTCATAAAATGTAACTTGATCTACTAATTGTATGAGGTGTAAATCAAAAACGTCGTTTATTAATAAGAAAATCAAAATAATATCGGTTCATAACATTTTAATAGCTCCCCGTGAATGTGAATAGGTAATATGCAGCCCTTTACAGTGAGCCAGCTGTAATAACAGACGTATTGTCGATGCATTTTAGCATATTAAAATTATACGAATTCTTAATTCTTTAGATTTATCAGGGCAGTTTCATTTATGAAATTTACATTTCATAAATTTTATTCATTTGTAAAATTTATTTAAAAAAAAAAATGAAAATAGGTAGGGGAAGTGTGCCTATGTTGGACCCCCTGCTGTAATTTCAAATATGGCGCGGTTACATGCACATCGCCGGTTGCCGCTTGCGCACGAAGTTTTTAGTTTAGCATTTGCAAAGTTTCAGATCCGTGGCGGTTACAACGGTAAATTTGTGAAATAAAATTAAAATTTGACGTTGCTGATCCAATAAAATTGTTTTATTAAAAGAATAATAACGGCCAAGAAATTCAATTATGACTGCGACAGAATCCAGGTAAAACAGTTACCCAATTTAAAGTAGTCAGTATCTTTAATAGAGCCTATTTAAAAAGTGCTCTTCCATCAAATGCAATAAATGCATTGTAAAAGACAGGAATAGAACCGTTCAATCTAGATGTCTTCGAGGATTGGCAATTTTTGACGTCTATAACAACAGATAGAGAAAATTATGAACAAAATCCACTACCAGGATGTTCTGATGAGAACTCACTACCGGAACATCTGAACCAATATGTTTCTTTGACTGAAGGTTTATCAAAAATCACTGATCAGAAATCAACGCCATCGTCAATCCTAAACATTTCGGTTGAAGATATTCGTCCTCCTCCTTTAGCTGGAGTATCTGAAGTAACTCAGAAAAGGGGTAGAAAATGGGGTAAAACAGGATATTTAAATTCAACGTCAGAAATTGATGATATAAAACAAAAAATTGCAGAAAAAGAAACAAAAAAAAAAAGAAAACAAGACGCAAGAAAAATGAAAAGGCAAGTTCGTATTTCAACTAAAAACAGTTCTGAAGACGATTGTGAATCTTCTTTTGAAGAAGACAACTCGGACGATGCAGTTGCATTTACTGTAACGAACTATTTTCGCATATTTAAAATAATTAAATTCGCAAATAATTAAAATTATTATGGAGCTTTTTCCTTAAGGGGTCAATCATATGCACATTTCCCCTATTGCTACTTTTTTATATTCTGGTGATAGTAAGTTTGTAGCATAAGGAATACAGAATAATTCACCAGTATGTATGCGACAGAAGAGCAGAAGATTACAAGATATGATTAAACCTATGTTTGAAGTAACAGCACATTCAACAGTTATAGGACTCTTAGAAGCATCTGTGTATACAATTTGGTCAAATCTATTGTTAGCAATTAATTCTTTAAAGGTTTGCCTTAGAAATTATGGATTTGTCTGTGCTTATCATAATTAGTTAACGAGAGATTAAAATCTGCTTTCAATTTATTCCAGGGAGGTTTAGAAGAAATTAATATTGGAGTTGTGGCTGAAAGATCGATGTTACTCAGATGTGGTGAGAGATATTGTGACATAGATTAAAGTTTAATAGGAGAAGGAGAGTTGAAAAGGTCATTACTTAGTAATTTATAGGCTGGATTTTCGGTATTAGCTAAAATTCGAGACGAATATTTTAAAAGGAGTTACTGGCGACATAGCCTGTAACGGGGGAAGTTCATTAGCTTCTCTGTATAAACTCTCTGTAGGGCTCGACCTGAAGGCTCCAAGGCAGATTCGAAGTACAGTGTTGTGCACAGAATGAAGTAGTTGTAAATCTGATGGGCTTTAAATAATTTGTTTGGATAATTAATTGTTAAATAACTGATACACTGAATGTTTTTTTTCCGTATTTTAGAAATTTTAATAAATAACTGAATAAATAATCCGAAAATGATGATGGCGATTATGAATACATGGACAACACTGTTCTCCCAAATCTTCTAGGCCCATATTCCCCCACTTGAGCCCAATTTATCTCACTTGAATTCAACTTTGAATCAACAGTATATTGACAATGCTCCTTGAATAATAATTCTGCTTTGGCCATATCTTGTGTAAATAGAATGCATTTTTCTCTTAGCTCTGCTTAAAGAATTTTCGATCAGTCATTGTTGGAATGTGTTTAAAAAGGCAACTGTGATTAGATGCATTATCCAACACTATGACAGTGCTACTATCAACACCTTGGATAATGTTCTCAAAGCATAAGACGTCTGTAGAGTTTGTTGTGTGGTGAAACAAAGATCTTGACTGTGATTGCTGGGCAGTGATGGAAGGGGGTTGTTAATGTACTTGTGTTATGATTTAGAGTTAGTTCACAATTTGTTAAGTTGATCATGTTATTATGTTATTGAGAGAAGCTCAAAACATGGAGCTGAGGAATTTAAAAGTGAGTTAGAACAGTTTCTTTATTAAAATGTTATGAAATATGAATAAATTTATAAAGCAGATGAATCGGGGCTCTTCTGAAAATGTCTTCAATCTCAGATGTTGGCTTTATGATATGATGATAGCTATACGATATGATAATAATATGATATGGAGATGTCCCCCATAGAATAAAAATTTATATATGTTTATACACATTTCTCACAAAAAATATATCTTGAAGATATTTAATATGTTTTTTTTTTTATTTCTTTTAGGGTGCCTCAACCTATGTTGTACAATTAATTGATATATTGTGAGATCTGACAGTTTTCTTCTGACTTAAAGGATATTACAATATGTAAAAGACATTGTGTGAAAATTGTTTGACAAATTTTTATGAGGAATAATTAATAATAAACTATATAAACAAATAGACAATCGAATATCAAAAATTAGATATGAAAATAGGCTGTGAAATGTTTGTATTGTCTATAAAACAGCCTTTTGCTGTGTTTATTTTTTAACTCATTCAGTGCCAAAGCTTTTGTGGTATAATGGGTCCCACACAGTTTTTAGCATTAATAAAATGTAAAAAGCATACAAATTCATATGTATAATATTTTTTTTCCAAAAAACGAGTTTAATTTTACATCTTACCAAGTGCCACATCTATAGATAAAGCTTATGTCATACAAATCAGTACAAATTTTTTATAACTTAGTAAAAATCATGGATATGCTGTCTGTATAATTTTCTGTTTTTTACTTCCATTTCAAATGTATATTTTTCATAAATAAACGGTCCCAATGTTAGTGAGAAGTTTTAATTGATGTGTAACATAAACTAGTATTTAGATTTTAGCGACAATATAAGCGGTTTATATATGTATATATTCACAACTAGATCACTAATATTTGACACTGAATGTGTTAAATAACATTTTTAATAGCATTAAAAATAGACGACAAGCCCTTTGCAGTACTGTCAACATATTTATTTATGTATATTATATAATTAAAATGATTATACAAAGAAAATATAAACTTTATTTATAAATAACTGACTAGCAGCAGGTAAATTCATACAATATCAAGTTTTCTCTTCCATTCTTCAAAACTGATAAGTTTTAATATATTAGAATAATTTTTTCTTCACAGCAGTAAATCGTTCCATGTATGCATCATATCCATTCAAGTCAGACAATTCCTTTGCTTCGAAAAGGTTGCCTTCGACAGAGAGATTTGAAATTTTTGAATCGAGGAGGATTTTGGGAGTGATTGCAGACAACTGCAAACAGTTTTCTTCTAATCTTAGGGTTTTTAACCTAGGACACTCAGCTATTTGGCCAGAGATGTGTGCCAACTGGTTTTGATTCAAGTTAAGTTCAGTTACATTTAAACCTGAGACATCAGGAGGGACAGAGGTGATTTCATTTTTGCTCAAGTCCAAAACATCGAGGTGTTTCAGACCACAGAACATCAAAGGGAATTCTTTAATATGGTTGTCGCTTAAATTTACCTGTTTTAGATGGATTAAATTTGATAATGTTCGCGGCAGCGAGCTTAAATTATTATGACTAGCATTAAAAGTTTCGAGTTTGGTTAGTGCCCCTATACAATCCGGGATTTTTGCTAACCTATTTTTACTTAAATTAAGGTGTTTTAACTGCATAAATCTACTGATTTCATTTGGTAAAATTACAAACTTGTTGTCCGATATGTCTAAGGTTCTGAGGCTGCCTTCTAATTGTTTGAATCCAGGAGGAAACTCATTTAGCTTTCCTTGTGAGACTTTGAGCACTCCTGTTTTTTGAGCGGTTTCAATATGTTGCTTGAGCCCAGAATTACCCATTGTGAAGTGTGCAATCAGCTGATTAAAAGATAAGATTTTAACTAATTAGAATTTGAATGATAAAAATTATACCGTAAATTATTGCTACTGATAACACTTACCTAGTTGCTTTGTGTGTTTATTCGCGTTACTTTCATCTATTTTGTGAATGTTCTGTCAACAAATAAAGAAAAAAATTAAATAAGGGCCCGAACTTCGGTAATCTACTTGACCCATACATTTACATTGACATTAGTGATTCGGGCACCGAATTCGGGTTAGGGTTATTTGTTTACTATCGACAGGTTGTGGTAACTTGTAACCTGCCTTTGGAAATATTTGGAAATTATGCAGCGGCGTTGCCACATTAAAAGCTGAATAATCTTGGATACTTGAACATGGGATTATTGTGGAAAATTTCTGGTAATTATTTTTTATTTATAATTTATCTAATTTCCCTATTACCTACTTAATTTTAAAGTGATTTAACTACTTTTCAAACTACAATCAGCCAGTTATAACATGACTACTATCTTAAACATAAAAATTTTATGACCGTAAAGTCCATAAAATATCAATAACGAAGAGCTGAATAATATGCTTTAAGAGCTAAAATTAAAATAGGATATTAGTTAAATATAGCATCTTTTCAACATCATCAGTCATCACATCATCAGACATCACATCATCAGTGTGTTCAAAAAATGGTACACATAATCGTTGATTGAATATCCCAATCATCAATTTGGGTTATTCAATCAACGACATAATATAATTCAAAATACTAACTTTTTTGTATTATCTCCTTTTTATCTATATTTACATACAAAAAAGATGATGAGATTCTCGGAGTTCCACAGCAAACTCTTGAGCAGCTTTCTACTCAATCCAACAGCAGCTTTGCTATGGACTGTCCAAGTTGCTCACCACAATTTTTACATTATATTTTTTTGAAAGTTGACACTACAAGACTATTTTGGTACCTGACAGAAAATTTACTAATGCATTATAAATGCTCTCATTTCCATTAGCTAAGAGACTAAGGATATTAAACTGAGCCTGTACATTAAGATCATGTATCATGTATGTATGTATCATCTTTTTGCCAAAATTTTGACAAAGATCATTTTCGAGAACATGAATTTTATGTAGATGTGTGGGATAACAGGCGTGGCCAAATCTAAGACGTGTTGCCGTTAAAGTCAAGTTCTTCCAGTGTAAATGGATTTAGAAGAAAGTGACTTAAAGTTATAGGATCCTTTCGAATTTCTATAGTAGTATTAACTGATGGAGGTGCTATTTTGTCAAAAAATTCTTCAATCAATTCATCATTCAAATGATTAATACTTTTAGTATACTTCCTTTGCATTTTCCTTGCTTCATTCCACCTATTTTTAATAGGCATATTTTTATTTAAGGATAAACACCAGTTTTTCTAACTTTCTTTGTTTTCTTCTTTCATTTTCATTTAAAAAATGTATTAAACTGTTTTTGTTGGCGACAGCAGATCTACTATTCCATTGCATGATTTTAAATCTATTTAAGACAGAGAAAATTATGTAACCTTTTTTGTACCCTCCAATACTATTATTTCATTACCTAAAGATTTAAAATCGTCCAATGTACCTACGTATATTTTTTAAAACACCAATTACAAAGTTAGTCATAGCTCGAGCAATATCTTGGTTCTCCCTTTCTCCAAAGTTAGAAGCGGAACGGGGTGGATTAGCAGGTAGAGATTGAGATGGTCCAAATTTGAAGTTAAACATGGGAGGTGGCTAAACAGAGTTAGAAGATACAGCAGGAGAAGAATTGGCTTTCCTCTTTTTGTTAGGAACCTAGCTTTGGCGAAAAGTTGGATTAAAAGTAATCGTAGCTGCATAAGAAGTAGATTGCGCAGATGTTAGGGACATTTTATTTTGTGTAATATTAGGAAAAATTTTATCGCATTTGAATAAATTTGAAAACTTATTTTGACCTAGAGCCTCTGAATACGAGTTTTCATTAATTTCCTTGGCCTCTAGAAAAGAAATTTTATTTTTAATCATAATATTTTTTTTTGTTGTTTTGGTAAGAAGTAAAATTTTTTAAAACCGAAACATGTCCAGTACTCTTACAATGAATGCAACTAATGTCTGAATTTTCTCAAGAATGATTTTCATCTTTATTCTCTCCACATCGAGTACATAGATTTTGAGAACTTCTACACTGTTTTGAAATGTGACCGTATCTCAAACACCTATAACAGTGAGTAACCCTACCTACAAATTGTTCGACTGGACAAAAAACTCGATTTATAATAACATACTGAGGCAGTATATTACCTTCAAAAGCTACAATAACAGTTCGTTTTGCAACATACTCAATTGTCCCATTTTTTTCAACTTTTCTATGCATTCGTTTAATATTTAGGATACGTGAAGGAGATTCTATATTTTCCTGTAAATATACAGTATCAAATTGAGTATCAATATCCCGAATTAAACCCTTGCTTTCTAATAAGTGACCGGGAATAAAGGCTTTTAAATTTTCTTCCTTTAGTTTACTATTATTTATAAGACTGTTTGCATCATGTATAGAAGCTACTACTACCTTAATTCTGTTCCTACCTGTTAATGATGTTTCGAATCGAAATTGTTGGTTTATCAGAATATAACCTACCATTTCTTGTACTATTCTGCCTTCATGTTCATCTTGAGAAGGGTTTTAAGTACACAGACGTCTTTCTGAAAGTTGAAACTAGGTATTGGCGGCGAAAACGTCGATTTCTTGGCAGAATTCCATCAAGACGTTCTCCATTTGATTTCTTTCTCATAAGCCAAAGTTTCCGGTTATACTGCGCATTCTTATCTGTCCAAATTTAGCATTCAAATTTTCCATAAGTAGTACTGTTTCGCATTTATTGTTGTGTTAGCACGTCTTCTATTTTGTGGTAAAATTCTTCGATTTCCTGTACATCTTTGTCTGTAATGGGAGCATAAACTTGGGACAATTATTATATTTACAGGTTCGTGGATTAACTAGTGTTGGCATTACGTCGTCTAACAACAGGCCCTTCATTTTTGATGTTAAACATTTTCATAACTAAAAGTGCCTTGCAACTAATTTTGTGTGATTACTGAAAAATATTCGTAGTTTTGACAACGTCGCTCAGTTGTTTCTAATCGATGATTATCTGTCAGTTAGGCTGATATCGGCGTTAACAGATGGCGCGGTAAGCATCGAAAGCTTTTCGCGTTTAAGGACTAATTTTCCAATTTCCCCTGCAAAATGGGAAAATGGCAAAGGTTGATTGTTTTATAAGAAAATTCGGGTCAAAAGTGGGTGTTTGTGTAACAATGTAGAAAGTAGTATGTGCCAATACATCGTTCTGATGGAGTAAAATAATGTCATCTACACCGAAATCCGGGAAATATGTCCAAGGTAGGGAATTCATGAATAAACTGAATTGCTATTGTTATACTATTTCCTACGGATTGATTCCATGCATGATAAACGTAGAACTCTTATACAAATTCTATGTGTATTTTCAACAATTAATGTTTTATTTGTTGCTAAACAATTCCCGAAATTTTGTGTGTGTATAAAGTAGGTCATGGAACCTTAGAGGTTTATTTTTGAATCAAAATATCACGTTCCTGTTTATATCCCAATGACCTCTTGACCAGGAATGTTTCAGATGTTAGGAAAAACGCCGGCGAAGGATTTTTCTAATAGAGAGACCAATAACAAAAGAATTCAAAGAAAACAATAACTTTTATCAATTAAGATTGATGTTAATGAACGCAGCTAAGCTAAGATAAATCTATTTTATTTATGGACTTTGGGAATTTTCTTGGAAAGATAATTCTCAGATCTAAAAATATAGTTCAAAGAATTAGTTTTGGTAAATATTTGTTTTGCATACTTGAAAGTTTTTTTAAATTAAAATTTAGATCACTTATTTCCTCTGTATACTGACTATTAATTAATATATTTGCTATTAATCTTAAAATCTCTGTCTAATTTACCACTTATGTTCCTAAAATCCTTGCTTGTCATAAAGAAGCTAAATTAATCAAACTAAAAAACATGATGTTGTATACCTATATTATTAATCAATATCAAATTATTATGCCATGTATACTACTTCTTCAGTATATATTATATTGTTCACAACTACATTAGCACAGTTCATTTACTCCACTAATGTTTGGCTGATCTACTATCATCAGCAATTTCATTGTCTTGCTTATCCTCCTCTATCTTCAGTGATGAGTTATAAAAGTTATATATTTTTGCTTTCTCATATGACCAATAATTCACTTTTCTTGATTATTTATTATTTTTTCCCATACCACTCATTTTCCATTCATCTTTAAAAAAAAATCTACATTTTATTGAAGAATAAAAACAGAAAATGGTTAATAACAACATCATCAGAAATTCCAGTAATCCAACAAAGTTTATGTGGAAAATCATAAATGCACATCGTGGTGTTAAGAAGAATACTAGCCAACCTCCTAATACCATTCCAAATATCTTTAATGATTACTTTTCACAGATAGCATCCAACTTGATGACACATATCAAGTTTCAAATCTGAATCAAATAGATATAACTCAAATAAATATATTAAATCAATTTTCATTCTCAAAATAAAAACTGCTGTGTTTTAAAATAAAAAAAAAAATATCCTAATACTTGCACTTACTATGCTAAATAATATCTGCATCAAAGAACATATTTTTCCATGTTCTTAAAAAAGCAATAAGTTGTCCAATCTTCATAAAAGGGGACTCAAATCTGCCAGAAAATTGTGGAAAAGTGTATGGCACTACAAATGGTAGAGTTCTATAAGGTAAATGGTATGTTATCTAAATGTCAGTTTGTTTTTCGCAAAAATAAGACTACAGTCTTAGGTATTTTAAATCTTATATTGTATATTGAGTCATTTCATAAGCTTCAATTTAACTCAGTCTTTTTATGTTACTTGAGCAATGCTTTTTATTTGGTATCCATGAAATCCTCCTGTAGAAATTACAAAAATATATCTTTTGTTCCCAGAGTATTGATCTCATGAAATCATATCTGAAAAATATTGCACATATTGTGAGGGTTGGTGGAGTGTTGTCATCAGAGAGTGTGTAGGACTAGGGTATTGAGCAGTAAAATATTTTAATGTTCTGCCTGAGAATCTTATGACAGATAAGAAAGATCAAAGAATTGCATCTATAAAATAATATGTGAATACAACAATTTTTATTTGGGACAAACTGCAAGACCGTTAAGGGTCAGGATAAACAAACATAAAACATACATTAAGA